TACTGCTCTTTTGTTTCGCTCGAGGTTCTTAATACTGACAGCAGGATATCTGTCGCTTACAAAGTCAACTCTTTCTGCATTTGCAGTTCTGGCACAACCTAAAAGCATCTGCAAAATCTTCCCCGCTAGTTCTCCAAATGTTTGGGGAATATATTTCAATGTCTGCAACATTGCCATCGCGTCTAGTAACAAGGCTCCTGACGTCTGTGTCGTTTCAACCAGTGGATCAGTTACACGGCCAACCAATTCATGAAGAAGTTTGCATTTTGGGCTTTTCACAAGTTCACCATCAACTGTTGCAAAAGGATGTGGGAACTTTCTTAAACTGTACGACATAAGATTTTTCATATCAACTTCTCTAGATTCACCGATTGCCAACAAACGAGAGATAAACTTTGCATCGTTTCTTAGTTCAACGATCTCACCTTTCTTCGTTTTTACTTGCGATTTGACATTTTGTTTCGTAAAGGTCTTTAGATTTGTTTTCGATATTGTTGTAAATATATCTGGCTTTCCAGCTTTGACTTTGTCGTCCACAAACTCTTTGAATTTTCTTTCACCAATTTCTTTTGCGGCTAGCATATCAGTCACCACGCAAGGATTTGCCACCTCCCCACTGGCGATGTTTATAAGATCTTTCAGATCAGGATCAAACGGGTTTGTCATTGCTGAGATCGTTTCAATTACAGCGGATATCTCAGAGTTATGGTATATCATCTGGGACACATCAAGATCTTTACGCGCTCTGTAATGTAATGTAATGTAATGTAATGTAATGTAATGTAATGTAATGTAATGTAATGTAATGTAATGTAATGTAATGTAATGTAATGTAATGTAATGTAATGTAATGTATTGTATTGTCATGTAATTGATCATGAAACAACATATGACAACGCACAAGCACTTGCATGTATTTAAATCGTAATAGTTTCTTTCCAAATTCCAGCAATAAATTTATTGAAGTTAGAAACGCTCTACTTACAATAGAACTGTCTTGTAATTGAGCCTCTTTCCGACTGTGCAAGAATCCATCGCTGAACGGCAGATATATTAAGAGTAAATCCCGTTATGCCACCTTTCGTCTTTGAGTCCCGGTTGAAGGTCTGCTCCATAACTTGATCGCACGCTGAGGATGAAAAGCCATATTTTTGTTGTCGTTGACATGTCCAGTTTGCTTCGATTCCATGTAGTGCATCTAGGAGTTCAAAGGAATGAAGTTTACAACTTACTAAAAGCTCCAATTATAAACATATGGCATATACATATATGCACAAACCTATGATCCACTGTAATCTAAATACTGAATATAATTTTGTGTACCTGGATGAGTCGTATTAATGCAAATCATCTCAAGCCAATACTGTATATTGATCCGTATCTGGCGTAGTTGACACGGTCTGCCGCGAAACACCAAGGGAGCATCGATCTCACAGCTGATAAGTGCAATTCCCAGTTGTTGTCACGGGCCGGTTGCTCGAATGAACAAAAGAAGAGTCTGTACCATTTGCATGTATACCATCCACATTCCCATTGTTTTTTTTTGTAGCTGGTTTTTCGTTTACGTAAATATTGAAGCCATTCTGGATGGACTGAAATTCTTCAGAGAGTCCGTAATCTTTAAATTGTTCGTCTGAAAATGTTTTGGCCATGGTCTCTGCCAAATAACATTTTTTTTTTCAATTCCAGAAATTCAATGAAAAACAGAATGTAGAAATTTTCCCACTAAACTAAAGGGCATCAAAATTTTAATAGCATCGACGAAAATAATTAAATCGTAAATGCTGTAATTAACAAACGTTTGATCATTGACATCTTAAAAATCAAAGCAAGTGAGAAATTCTTACCAATAAAAAGTGATATTTGCTCCAGCGATTCTGCAGGCAGTGACTGCATGTACATATCAAATAAGACGCGTGTCAATGCTTCAAACATCACTTTGTGTGTGCGGATGGCACGGTTATAATGTTTTCCATTTATGACTCCATTGATGGATCCAGATGCTACAAGCTCAGACTCCACAAGCAAATCCTAAAAACATAATGGGACAGAAAATTAAAATATAAAACTGTAGGAACTGTATAACACTGTACAGTACATCTTGTTATTTACTCAATCTCAGCTGTAACATTTTGGCTACTTAAACAGTACAATTAGTCGTACATGTATATACCTAGTTAACTCACCCTCAATCCTGTATCCTTGAACAGCTTCCAATTGCTCCACAAAATGTCATGGCCATATGGAATTCACCAAGTCGAACAATATACCTACTTAGATATCGTCAAACACCAGGCAGACATAGTGAATACATAACTTGTTTGCAATTTATGTGCTCTTTTTCATTCTAGCGTTGATTGTTGACATTTTGGTCGGAGGTGCATCTATTACCGGCAAATATCCTATCTTTGACAAAATTGGGATTTCTGTGGACTGAAGCAATATGTTAA